TTCGAAGACACCTACGGCGAACCACCGCCGCCCCCTGCCTTTTGGAATAGCTGATGTGGCCGAGCGTTGTGGCAAGAACTCTGCCAAGCTATCGGACCATGTGTTCCCCCAGCCGTTGTGGAAACCCTTCGGGAATATTTGGGGGAGGATGGCGGGGAAGATTTGGAGGAGGAGGAAGAGGAGGGGACACCTTGGGAGCCTCTGGGGGCACTCTTGGGGCTTCCTGGGAGCTTCCTGGGAGCCTCTTGGAGGTATCTTAGGGGCTTTCTTAGGCTTCTTGGGAGCCTCAAGGGGCTTCTCGGGGACCTCTTTGGCCGTCTGAGGGCCTCCTGGCCCGTCTGAGGCCGTCGGAAGCCGTCTTAGAGGCCTCTCTGGGCCGACTTAGGGCCCTTTTTACCTAACAGCGAAGACTGATAGGTTTCTAGTTGACTCAAAAGAGCTCACAGATCACTCCACAGGGGGGTCCGGGCAGGTGTTGGGGCGTTTCCGGGCGGCATGAGCCGGGCTCGTTTTTCACCAACAGTCACACACTTCGTGCTCTTCGCCTTCCCAGAACTCCATTCCCAGGCCACATTCTGGGGGGCCGGATGCAACAGTCACACACAAAGTGCTCTTCGACATCCCAGAACGCCATTCCCGGGCCACATTCTGGGGGGCCGGATGCAACAGTCACACACTTCGTGCTCTTCGAGTTCCCAGAACGCCATTCCCGGGCCACATTTTGGATGCCCGGAGCCAACTGTAGGCCACTTCGTGCTCTTCTATTTCCCAGAACTCCATTCCCGGGCCACATTTTGAATGCCCGGAGCCAACTGTAGGCCACTTCGTGCTCTTCGAGTTCCCAGAACTCCATTCCCGGGCCACATTTTGAATGCCCGGAGCCAACTGTAGGCCACTTCGTGCTCTTCGAGTTCCCAGAACTCCATTCCCGGGCCACATTTTGAATGCCCGTAGCCAACTGTAGGCAACTTCGTGCTCTTCGACTTCCCAGAACTCCCATTCCTGGGCCACATTTTCAGCAGGGGCAAGAGCACGACGAGGAGGAGGACGAGCAAGACCAGGAGGACGAGGACGAGCAGGAGCAGGACGAGGAGCAGGAGGAGCAGGAGAAGAAGGACGAGCAGGAGGAGGAGGAGGACGAGCAGGAGGAGGAGGACGACCAGGAGGAGGAGGACGACCAGGAAGAGGAGGAGGAGGAGGAGGAGGGGAGGGGAGGAGTACCAGGAGGAGGAGGAGGAGGAGGAGGAGGAGGAGGAGGAGGAGGAGGAAGAGGAGGAGGAGGAGGAGGACGAGGACGAGGAGGAGGAGGAGGAGGGGGGGGGGAGAGTACCAGGAGGAGGAGAACGAGGACCACCAGGAGGAGGAGGAGGAGGAGGAGGAGGAGGAGGAGAGAACACCAGGAGGAGGAGGACGAGCAAGACGAGGAGGACGAGAACGAGGACGACCAGGAAGAGGAGGAGGAGGAGGAGGAGGGGAGGGGGAGGACTACCAGGAGGAGGAGGAGGAGGAGGAGGAGGAGGAGGAGGAGGAAGGAGGAGGAGGAGGACGAGGAGGAGGAGGAGGAGGACGAGGAGGAGGAGGGGGGGGGAGAGCACCAGGAGGAGGAGAACGAGGACCACCAGGAGGAGGAGGAGGAGGAGGAGGAGGAGGAGGAGGAGGAGGAGAGAGCACCAGGAGGAGGAGGACGAGCAAGACGAGGAGGACGAGAACGAGGACGAGCAGGAGGAAGAGGAGGAGGAGGAGGAGGAGGAGGAGGAGGAGGAGCAGGAAAAGAGGAGGAGGAGGAGGCAGGCTGAGGCTGAGGCTGTGACTGCGACTGCCGTTGCCGCTGCGACTGTCATCGCGAATGCGACTACGACTGCGAGAACAGCAGAATTCGACAACTGGATTTTCATCTGAATCTTAAGGGGAATGCTTTCAGATATGCTTCTACACATCGCTGTTAGGTTGCTTTGCCGGGATAATTGGAGTGTTCCAGGGCAGTTTGGGAGGCCATGCAGGGCGTCTTGGAGTGCACTTGGGGCCGTCTTGGGGGCCTCTTGGGTCGTTCTGGGGCCATCTTGGAGGCCTCTTGGGTGATCTTGGGGCGATCTTTGGGGGCTCTTGGGCCGTCTCGGGCCGTCGGTAGGCCGAAAAGAAGCAACTGCCAAACTCTTTCAATAACCTCGAGACTATAAATGATTTTGGCCTCTTCGGGCCTTTCTGGAGGCCCTCTTAGGGGCCTCTTGGGCTGTCTTGGAGACCTCTTGGGGGCATCTTGGGCCGTCTTGGGCCATCGTCGTTTCATTTTGGGCCGTCTTGATGGCCTCCTGGCCCGTCTGACGCCGTCGGAAGTCGTCTTGGGGGCCTCTCTTGGCTGACTTGGGGCTCTCTTGGGGTGCTCCAGGGCCGTCTTGGAGGCCATGTAGGGCGTCTTGGAGGGCTCTTGGGGCCGTCTTGGGGGCCGTTGGGGCTGTTCTGGGGCCATCTTGGAGGCCTCTTGGGCGATCTTGGGGTTCCTTGGGGGCTCTCGGGTCGTCTCGGGCCGTCGGGAGGCCGAACACATGCAACTGCCAAAATCCTGCGACAACCTAGGGGCAATCAATGATTTTGGCCTCTTCGGGCCTTCCTGGATGACCTCTGGGAGATCTCGTGAGCCGTCTTGGAGGCCTCTGGGGCCGTCTTGGGCCGTCCTTGAAGCTTCTGGGGCGAACCTGGAGGCATCTTGGACTCTATTGGGCCGTCTTCGAGGCCATCTTGGACCATCTTGGGCGAACTTGGAGGCCACGTTGGCCGTCTTGGAGGTTATCTTGTGCCATCTTGGAGCCATCTGGACTGGGGCAATTTTGGCAACCATGTCTTCCGCGGGGCCGGCGGGATGGGCCGAAGCCCCAGGGGAGAGTTCTATTCTTGTGGAACAAAAAGAGCCGAAACCAAATTAGTAGGGTTCACCACGCCGGGCACCCCTGTGGCAAGCCACCAGGGGGCGGCGGATGACGGAAAGCGCGCGTAGCGTCACGATCCGTTAGCCGGGAGAAATTGCAAGGGGGTTGTGGGGTGGTAGGCTGCCCGACCCTAGATCTACTGGCTTTAACTTCGGCAGTTTTCTGCCCAATACGGCCCAAGTCAGCCCCAAGAGCGCCCAGGAGGCCAGCAAGACTGCCCAAGACAGCCCCAAAAGCGCCCAAGCTACTTCCAAGACTGCGTCGGTCCCCAAAGGGGACCCCCAAACGGCAGAAATCGTCCCATCCGTTCTTCTTTTTTTGTTTGAACTCGTGTAGTTGTTAAAGCATATTCGCTTCGTTGGTTTTCACAGCGTCCAATTCGGCCCAGCAGGCCTCCAAGACCGCAACAAGACGGCCCCAGAGCGCCCCCAAGACAGCCCAAGTGGGCGTCAAGACGGCCCAGGAGAGCCTCAAGACGGCCCAAGGGAGGCCCCCGAGGGTCCCAGAAGGTTCCCCAGAGAGCCCCAATGGGTCCACAGGAGGTCCCCAAGGGGACCCAGGAGGGCCCGCAGAGGGCCCCAAGACTGCCCAAGCCCGCCAAGACGGCCCAAGAGGGTCCCAGGACGGCCCAAACGGGCCCAAAGACGGCCCCCCCAAACCCCAAAGGACCCCCGGGAAGGCCCAGAAATGCTATATGTATTGATTTTCGCAAGGTTGGTTACTTGATTTTTGTATGTCGTACCGAAGCCTGAACACCAATAGGGCTCCAAGACACTACGCCAGCGACTTCGCACCCTCACAAAATAAACGCGCTTCCCATCCCCATGTCAAGCAGGTCTAGTGGCCTTCGGCCCATCACGTCACCGTGCCTCAGTTGTGGGTTAGAGGCCTCTTGAATGTTCGTTTGGATATCGTGGGGGGCCTCTCGGTGGCCTCTTGGAAGCAGTTTTGAGGCCTCTTGTGGGCCGTTGGGGGGCCTCTTGGGCTCTCTTTGGGGCCCCTTGGGACCTCCTGCGGGCCTCTTCGGGCGGAAGGCTCGAATTGTCCGTTCGTGTTCCCACTCTGGAGGGGGCCGTGCTGGGGCCCCCTTGGGTGATCTTGGGTGCCTGTTGGGCCGTTTTGGGGCCCTCTTGGACCGTCTTGGGGCCCTCTTGGGGGCATCTTGGGCCGTCTTGGGGCGGTCTTGGGGGCCTCTGGGGCCATCTAGGAGCGTCGGAAACAAGACAAAACGCGAAAAACATAGAAAAACAATGAACAATTATGCTTTGTGTTTCTTGGGCCCTCTTGGGGGTCCTCTTGGAGCGCTCTTGGGGCGTCTTTGGGGCCTTTTTTGGGCTGTCTTGGGGCCATCTTGAGCGTCTTGGAGCGCTCTTGGGCTGTCTTGGAGGTCTCTTGGACTCTCTTGGACCCTGTAGGACGCTTTCTGGGGCCCTCTTGGTCGGTCTTGGGGCCCTCTGGCCTCTCACCAGCCCCCATGACTGTCAAAAACGACCGGGCAAGGGGACCGTTGTTTCATCATCGTGCCAATATCAAACGATTCAGAACGGAACGCCGGCGCTGAGGAGAGGGTCGCTGAGACTTCTGGGGTTTCCCGTAATAGAGAGGGCACTGCGTCGGGTTTGTGGGACCGAAGACGACGCCCTTCCCGTCATTTTCGCTCTTCGGGCGCCCTCGTCGGCTGCACTCGCCTCGGGGTCCTGGTCAGAACGCGCCCCAGGAGAGGCACCGCGGGGGTGCGGTCAGGAACGTTTGCTTCGCGTGTGCGGGCGCCGGTGCTGGCCCCCCACGCGTCGGCGCAAGACGGCAGGCTTGCCGCGGGCGCCCACCTGTCCTCGCCAGGGCCGCCGCGACACGCCGAGCAAACATCCCCGACGGTGGCGTGACCACGTCGCCAGGTGAGCGACTCAGGAAAATGGGCTCAGCTGCGCGGGCATTTGCGCGTGATAAGCTGCCCGCGTGAGGCCACGCGCAAGCGCTCACTCCTCCGCGCGGCGTGCCGCGCTGGCGGGCCGCGTGAGCCGCGGCGTGGGGTCGCTGAGGCATCTCGCGTCGAGCCCGTGTCTTCTCGTCGCCCAGGTGCGGCGGCCAGCCAGCCAGCCGCCGAGCCAGCGGCAGGAGCGGGCTCCTGCGAGGTTCGGCGGTGGACAAGCCTCCCTTTAGCAAGCCACCGTTTAGTGAAAACGGCCCCGGACCGAACCCGACGGACCTGGACCCGCAAAAGTAACGGTCGCGACGCCCTCTCGCGAACCGAAAACGGCCAATGCGCTAATCGACGTGTCAGGGCAGGGGGTCTATCAACCTCCCAGAGGTGGCCCCGGAGGCGGGCCTTCCGGAGCCTGGGCACGGGGCGCCGCCGGGCGGGGAGGGTGCCGCGGCTGCCCAGCCGGCGGCTGACGTGGCAGCAGAGTCGCCGGCCTGCACGTCGGATCTCCGCCGTTTTGTTTTTTTATTGTTTGTTGTTGTTGATGCGATTTGGGTATACCATGACGATTCGCGTGGCACCACCAAGCCGTCTAGGAACGACGCCCAGGCGAGATGCCCTGATCAGGGATGTGGAGGCGCATGCGGTGGAATCAAGAGCTGGGGAAGCTGTTATACCCGACTCCAAGAGGGGGATGATGGAGGAGGAATCGGAGGAGGAGATGGATGAGGGAGAGGATGGAAGAGAGAGGAGCAGAACTAGGCGGATGAACAAGTGATGATGGTGATGATGATGCTGCTGATGCTGCTGCTGATGATGATGATGAGGATGGTGATGATGACGATGCTGCTGATGCTGCTGCTGATGATGATGATGATGATGATGATGATGATGATGATGATGATGAGGATGCTGATGATGATGATGCTGAGGAGGAGGAGGAGGACGAGGAGGAGGAGGAGGAGGAGGAGGCGGAGGAGGCAGCAGAAAGGCCAGAGGCCTCTTTAATGACGCTCAGGGTCTCTTCGGATGTCTCTTGAGATAGTCTTGGAGTCCTCTGGGGTTTCTTGGGGGCCTCTTGGCGGGCCCAGGGGCCTCTTGGAGCGTATTGGTTGCCTCTTGGGAGCCGCTCGTGGCCTCTTGTGGGTCTCTTTGGATCCTCTCGGGAACCTTTTGGGGGCTTCTTGGGGCCACGTGGGTGCCTCTTGGGGACCTCTTAGCGCACTCTTCGGAGCCTTGGGGGCCATCTTTGGGCCATCTTGGAGATCGATCGAAGAAGGGGGGAGTCCTCAATGAGCCTCCCGCCTCAGGAGGCTAAGAATGGCCTACAATCAAAAGGAACGTCATTGCTTTCTGTCTTCTCTTCAAGGCCTTCTTGGGCGCTCCAATCGGTCGTGGGGAAGAATGGGGGGTTGGATTCGGAAGCGATCTACACCACTGGCGCTCAGAGGGCTGGTTGGATTCCGTCGTTCGAGGACATTCGCATCGCAAAGCCTTTGGTAGTCTTTGAGGTAGCGCCGGTTCAGCTTCGATTCAAGTTCCCTTAGCGTCGCTTCGCGTCGATGTAGCGTCGATGATGATCGACTCGCGCCGATCCGCAAGAGCCAGCAGGATGGTTTAGGGGGGCTCCCGTGAGCTGCCGCAGGACGTCTTCCGCCGCGTCTGGCCTCCCGGTGCGGCTTCTCCCAGGCCGTCCCATGGGTACGAGGCCAGGGCGCACGGACTGGGTGTTGGGTTCTGGCAGGCGAATGGCCTTACAGTGGAGACCCATGCCAAGAAACACCTTTCTTGCCTCCAGGGTGCCCTGGGTTTTATGGGTTTCGGTGGCTTTGCCATGGAAGGCGTGGCGTTCCCACATCAAACATCGATGGGCGCCCTGGGGTCTCAAGGTTGGGTTTCCTGTAAAAGGTTTCTTGTGGTCGGGCCCCCACTGTGCCTTCTGATGCATGAATCCGACAGCTATTTTGGTGTCGGTAGACCTGGCGCTTGGCCAGTGAACCCTCATTGCTTTCTTCTCGAGCCCTCGGGCCCCGAGAGACGACCCGGCGGGATGAAAAGAGTTGGTCTTGGGGGACGCCTCACCCCCTGGTGTTGGGCCCGTTTCCCTCGTGAGGCACGGTTCTCTGCAGAGCGGGTGGGCGCTTCCACCGAGGCAGGGCGGCTTCCGATCCTGGCGGTGATAGCGGTGTCGGCGGCGCTCGGGCAGCCCGAGAGGCCTGCATGCCACCCTAGCGCATCGCCATTCTGTAGCAAATCAGCGGAGCCTTGCATGTCCTGGCAATGCCGTTGTTAGAGTGCGTTGTCGTCGACTAGAATTTGGTAGGTAATCGCTAAGGAAGCGCCGATTCAGCATCGACTATCGTCGATTCAGCGCCGATCAGTGTCGATCAGCGTCGGCCAGCGTAGATTTGCAATAGCCAGCAATCTGGCACGGGAGGTGGGGAAACCTCGACTCAAGGAAAAGTGCAACATCCAGGAAACGGGGGCGCGAACTCCAGGGCAGAACAATGACAAGCCCAGGGACGCACGAGCCTAGGGTTTTGGGTCGCGTGGAACCTTGGAAGCACGGACGGCGCTAGCCGCAGAAGTCTGGAGAGTTGGAGGAGGCGGAGGAGAGGGATGAGAACGCTGCAGAGGAGGATGAGGAGGACGAGAGCGACGATGAAAAGGATGAGGGTGAGAGTGAGGGTGAGGGTGAGGTTGATGATGAGTAGGGGTAGGAGGAGGAGGAGAAGGAGGAGGAAGAAGGAGGAGGAGGACGATGAGGAGGACGAGGAGGAGGAGGAGGAGGAGGAGGAGGAACGGGTTACGACGAGGAACAAGAGGAAGTAGCGGGGATGGGGGCATGCTCACCGCAAGTCTGTCTGTTCGTCGTCGTCGTGTCTCTCATCGCAGCCGCCGCCGTCGTTGTCGGTCCCGTCGTCCACTCGGACTTGCACTCGTACCCAGGCGCTCACAGCCAAACGTCCCCAGCGGACAGTGGTGGGGAACGAGATGGGTATCTCTGCGTCGAGTAAACATCATCGGCGCCTTGGCGTCAGAGCCTCTTCTCTGCCTCTGGCTGGCTTGCGGGCCCGCAAGAGCCGCCCTGAGAATGCCCGCCTTCTGGTATGTGTAGTGTCTGGCTCGACGGCCTTTCCAGAACATGGCGGGGAGGAGGGAGGGGTCGGATGGGCGGTGCGCCGCGTTTCTGCGTGCGTCGCGCCGTTCGTGGGGGGCGCTCTCCGGGGTCCGCGGTGCTCGCTGCGCCCTCTTCGTTTCTTGAGAGGGTCCGCGGGCCGTGCGCAGGAAAGTATCTATGGGGGGGATGGGGGAGAATGAGCGATGGGGTGGAACTCATAGCGAGGAGGAGTGCGAGGCAACGGAGGACGACGCTGGGGACGAAGGAAGTCGAGGATCAAGGGCGAACGTTTCACGTGGAGAGCGAGGAGGATGAGGAAGAGGTGGGGGCGCGAACGGAGGAAGACGAGGGGGGGAACAGGCCGACAGTGAGGAGCGGAAGGAGGGTCGTCGCGGCCGTCTTTCGGGCAAGTCGGGAAGCGCGCCCGCGGCGAAACCCGCAAGGTCGTCGTGGGGGCCGAGATCGAGGGGCGGATCGGGATCGCGTGCGCTCCCCTCGTCCGTTCGGTCGCCCTGTGCAGGCTGACTCTTATCCAGGTGCACCTTGGCTCTTCGACGCGTGCCCTGACGGCGTCCCTCGTCGGCCCGTCGGCTGCTGGGTGCAGGTGTTTCTGTTCCGACGTCCTATGCGTTTTTCTTGTTTTTGTCACGCACGTCTATACGCTCCTTTTGCGGACTGCTCTAGACGACGAGAGTGAGCATGAGCTGCCTCCGTCCGTCATGGACGAGCTTTTGGCCTGCGCCTTCCTGGCTTTTACGGCCATCGCCGGCCTGCGCGCGGCCCCATGCCCCGCAGCGTTCGGTGCGGATGCTTCCTTCAGCCACGGGGGAGTAGTCCGAACGGACATCAGTTACCAGCCTCGAACGTATCCCTATCCCTAAGATTGACACGCCAAAAGGCGATGCCAATCTTAGGGATCCGCCCTCAAAAAAAAAGGGAATCCCTAAGATTGGCATCGTGATGAGGAGATGCCCAGCATAGGGATAGGGATATGTTCCAGGCTGATAAATCAGCGCCCATCCGTCCGCAGAGCTGTGGAGACGTTCCGGGCATGGGGGCTGGCACACTCTGCTCCGCGATCGGCACCTCCTCCGAGTCCTGGGCCGAGGGGTTCCCCTTGGCCCTGAGCTCACCCAGCTGCATCGCGACCTGGGGCTGCCCTCCCTCGAGCTCATAGTCGCGCCTTACTGGGTGACGGAGCTTTCGGGGGCTCTCCGCTTCCGTTTGCCGTGCAAATGGCAGTACCGAGTGCCCAGACATATCAACATCCTCGAGACCACCGTCTTCAAGAGTTGGTGCACGTGCTGTTGCATCAGGATGCCCGACTCTCGGGTGCCTGTCCTCTTCGGCTCTGCAGTGGCTCTGGGTGCTGAGGCCCATGGGCGCAGCAGTTCCCCATGCTTGTCCCATGTCTCGCGCGCTACACTGCCGCGCATCATCGGGGGCGGGTTGTATATGGGGGATGTACGTCCAGGCGGACGTTCATCGGGCCGATGACCCCTGGAGGCACCGCTCGGTCCGCCCCCCTCTCGAGCCCCTCCAGCGTGGCTTGAGAAGGCAAAACAGGGAGCATGTCAACGATTTGATTGCGTGGCCCAGGCCGACGCTCTCTCTTCGTACCCTGCCTGCCTATGGGCGCACCTCGTCGCCCTGCTCGCGGCTCGAGGGTTGGGGCCGCTGGGCCTCCCCCAGGCGGCCGTCTCCCCCTCGGACGGGGGGTGGCCGCCGCCGGCGACGCCGCCGCGGGAGAGCCAGGCTCTGAGGCCCCCGGCGGCGGCGACGCGCGCAACCCACGCCCGCGGGCCCCGCGGGGGCCCGGGACAAGGAACGGTCCGTTCCCGAGCTCCATCCTGGGCCGCGCGCGCCGACGCCAAGGTCGCCGCTGACCCCCCCCCCGCTCCGCGGGCGAGGAGGTCGCAGGGGGTGGTGCTGGTCCTGGGGCCTGTCCTGCGCCCGTCGCCCCCCGAGCGCAGCTAGCGTCCGAGCGGGCGAGCGGCGGCTCGCGCATTGCTTGTGGCGTCCCCGCCGTGGCGGGCAGCCGAGAGGCCCTCGTGGAACCCGCGAGCAGCAGTGGTCAGCGCATCGACGCCCGATTTGCTACGCGGGCTGCCCTGCATGTCGCCGACGGAGCGGGCCGCGGCGCCATCGAAGCGGCGTACGTTCCGTCGTGCGGCGCGAGACTGCCATCCTGGCAAAGAAGTGGCGTCTCTCTCTGCCAGCCAAGCCGAGGAGGGCAAGCTGCGCTTCAAGCTCCTGTGCGACGCCAAGTCGCTGCTGCTCAACTACGAGGGCAGCCGTGCCGCTCCGGCGCCCAAAGCTCTGGTAGCGGGGGGGCCGCCGCGCAGGCTCTCGCCCGTGCCGAGGGCCGCGGCAAGGGGATACA